AGAGAGAGAGAGAGAGAGAGAGAGAGAGAGAGAGAGAGAGAGAGAGAGAGAGAGAGAGAGAGAGAGAGAGATTGGACTAACACACTTGTTGCTTGTGTCCGTCTGGGATGTGTTTCAGAGCTGGCATGGACTGGGACAGCGTAGGTTATTGCAGCCTGGGAATATAGAGCAAGTTATTTCGAAAAGAAGGGGAGATGGGTATGATAGGAGATTAGTAAGCAGCCTTGTTGGTAAGTTGGCGAATGAGTTGCGGGAGCTTCTGGAGAGAGGTAGAGGCATCAAGACGATGGCAGTTGTGTACGAAGATTTTGTCATGGCGGAAGCACTTCGAAAGGAGATCGAGGCTGGCCAACGATTGCTGGGTCAGCCTAAGCGAGGGGCTGTTGTGTCGCCTTTGGAAGTGCAAGAAAGGATTGAGGCACTTAAGAAGCTTTTCTTTAGAGCCGAGCAGCAGCAGTACGATTCTCAAGCCCTTATAGAGAAACTGAAGTCTAAGTTGGAGAGCGCCGAGAAAACTACTCTACTGGTCAACATGCAAAGCAAGCTGTTTAGCCAAATGGCTGCCAAAGCTGTGCCTAAGAGTCTTCATTGCCTTGCCATGCGTTTGATGATGGAGTGGAATGCTAGGCATGAGGATCTGGATCGTAGACTTATGAGTCCTTCCTCCCCCGAGATGAGCGATAATAGTCTTTACCACTATGCATTATTCTCCGATAATGTGCTGGCAGTCTCTGTTGTCGTCAACTCAACGGCCCAGAATGCTGTTCATCCGGAGAAACACGTATTCCACATCGTTACGGACAAAATGAACTATGGTGCGATCAAGGCATGGTTTGCTCTAAACCCTATGCGGGGCATGCACATCGATATAAGGTCGCTGGAGGATTTCCCGTGGATAAATTGCAGCTACGTCCCCGTCCTAAACCAAACAAGGGAAGCATCAATGCGGCGGTACTACTGGCACGTGGACGAGATTTCGCCTGACAAGGAGAATGTTTCTGCCGATTCATCGACGTACCAGAATTTCAAGTACCGCAATCCTAAGTATCTCTCCATACTTAATCACATCCGCTTCTATCTGCCTGAAATTTTCCCAGACCTGGATCGGATTCTGTTCCTGGATGACGACGTCGTTGTTCAGAAGGACTTGTCTGACCTTTGGAAGGTGCCTATGAATCGGAAGGTCAACCTGGCTGTGGAGACCTGTGGAGAGGTTTTCCATCGGTTTCACACGTATCTTAACTTTTCGGACCCATTGATTTCAGATAAGTTCGACCCACAGGCATGTGGGTGGGCATTTGGCATGAACTTATTCGACTTGAGAGCCTGGAGGGCAGGCAACTTCACAGAAGTCTACCACTACTGGCAAAGAGCGGTAGGTGTATGTCCTTACCTTCATTGGCCTTGGTGTCGCTGGATGCCTTGCTTCTCACTCCTGCTGTGAAGACAGCTTGCTACCCTGACATTGATGATGGTTTGCCTTTCGCTTTTCGTCTGCTTGCTCGTCTGTGCTGCGCAGAATCTTCTCCACCCACCATATTCAGCAGGTCATGCTGTATAGGGTGTGCGTGTCTGCATTGGTGGAGAGAGAGAGAGAGAGAGAGAGAGAGAGAGAGGGGAGGAGGGAAGGAGAGAGAGAGAGAGAGAGAGAGAGAGAGAGAGAGAGAGAGAGAGAGAGAGAGAGAGAGAGAGAG